AATCAAGACAATGCTCAGGCAAGGGGGAAATTTCAGAGCAAACCATTAATGTCTTAAATTGAAATGATGGAAATTTTGCTCTTCACTATTTAGCTGCACAATTGATTTGTCACAGATGCAATCACTTCAAAATTATTAGTCGTCTCCCTTTATAATATTTCCAAATTTACGCATATTATTAAGCATGAAAAATAAATTTCATTCAATTACTGGAAATATTTAAAAGAAGGAATTGTTGGAAAAAACGACACCGCCACTAATAGCAAGAATTTTGCTAAAACTTCGGAGATCGAAAAGAACACATCCGCCGATTGACCAAGTTTTTGTACTTTTCACATTTATTTTAAAATTTTGTCACAGGTAGTCCTTGTAGATGGTGGGATTTTTTTTTTTTTTTTTTTTTTTAATAATTAGTTATTGAATTAACCTGATAGAGAGAATTTAAAAATGAAATGTAAATTAAATAATAAAAGTACATACACGTTGAGTATTATTATGAGCAATTGTCTTGAGCTTTTAAAGAGAGTAAGAACCTGCGAGTCCCACAGGCAGCCGAGGGGACAAAAATAGGCGACCCAAGCGTTGCATCCTCAAGTTTGCGGCCAACAAGTATGTAAAATCTTGTTGAGATTCACCGCATTAAGGCGCAAAGTGCAATACAAATTCGTCTGCCGCCAGTTTATGATTTCACGAATTGTAAATTTCACTGTGGCAAGGAACAATATTTTGTGTTTTGAATCTGTCGCTAAAATGTAAATGGATGATTTTCTGTGCCGACCTTATGGCAGGAAGCGTGCTAGGAAAGAAAAGAGCACGGCCTCCTTTGATTTTGGTAAACATCTTCAGGGCCCCTCTCTGGATGAATGAAATTAAATTAAAAATTGATGAATGCCGATGTTGCACAGACCAACCCCGTGTGGAATTTTGTATTTTATGAATTTATTAATATTATTAAGAACAAGGACTACTATATCGAACGCCCTCGAGTGCATCTCGCTTGAGATATGTAATTTGAATTTTTAATTTGCGCGCAATCTTTGTTTTGATCAGGCGTGAAGGACATTATTTGGCGCGGTGTTGCTATCGACACATATCTTCAGGGGTGGTTTTCCCTGATCCACAAAGAAAGCGGATTTTGTTTGCCCACACATTGACATGCAAACGCCCCACCGACCGCCACCTCATTATCCTGCGTCCTGCCGAGGCGACAACAAAAACTCTCGCTCAATACTCGACCGGTTAAATTGCTCTATATTTCATTTTATTGATTGCTCTAATTTAAATTTGATAATTCAAATGACGTGTTCAATTTAATTGATTTGATTAACAAATAAATTAAGAGGTCAGAATCTTTGTTGAGTCTTAATTCTATATAGTTTAATTATTTATTTTGCTTGCAAGATCCACCTAAATAATTGAATCCTTTAATTTACTTTCGGCGTAATTTCTCCCAGTCCTTGAAAAGGTAACCAGAAGCAGGTAATTTTGATTGCTTTTGACACGTTGAGAAATTAATTAATTAGTAATTGCCATTTAAAAATGAGCCAATACAAGTACCTCAAAGATCTTCGTCATGTGGATTTTTGTCTTCAATTTAACTGATTCATAAAATTTCGATTAAAAATGTGTGGCTTGTTGAAGCAGTTAATGGAATCTATTTATGGAATTTTAGTTTAACAAAGTTGAAAAAATACACCGTCCCTGTTTTTGCGGCCCACGTGCTTACTTGTTGGAGAATCTTTTTCATTGCCGCGGGTGCGGTGGCACCATTATTTTTGCTGATACTCTAGGGGAGAGCCAGATATGGGAATACATCTGAAAATTATTTGCACGTCCGCGGCGCCTGAAAGGAAGGGGAAAAATCTCTTTCCCTGCCTCCCCCATTAGCAAAAGGAAAAACGCCGCCGTCAACTTTGTCGCACGAAAAGGTCATAAACACGTCCAAAAAAGTGACACGCACGAATGTGCACTTCCGGTCGGAAAATAATAAAATCAAGGAATGGAGCTAGAGAAGAAAAATATAAAATGACAACCCGTCTGAATAAGCGTTTTTTATTATATGCAATCATGAAATGAGAGCTTCCCAAACTAATTTTCAATTTTCTTTTCTTCAATTGACTATTTATTTTTTTAATAACGACAAAAGAAATTAAAAACTCTCATCGTTCCGATTCCAAAATGTATCAATTTTCATTCCCAAATTATGCCCTTCAACGGTTGATATAAATCGTCCGGAAAAAAAGGTTTTAATTTTTTGAGCACAATATTATTGCTGTATATTTGTCCACATTGTTACAATAAATTTGTAGCAGAAAAATTTATTTAAAAAAGCAATTTTCGGACAAAACGACACCTACACTGGCAAGAATTTTGCTAAAACTTCCGAGAACAAAAAAAGACTCCATTCGAGCCTCTCTTGAATTCTTTGATCTCCCTCATTCCATAATAATAAAACAGAGGTATTGAACCCAAAGCTATTATCACGATTGGCGCCATCAAATTGTCTTCAAATCAGCATATCAAATTATCTTTTCAGTTCATGCTGTTCATGCATTGGCTTCTTTTGAGGAAAATAAATCGAATCAAAATGCATCCTAAAAATAGAATTTTGGTCTAGGAGAATGATTTTTAAATTTGCTTTTAAATTTTTTTCAGTGGCAAATTCGCAGCCGTCTGGAACGAAATTGCATTTTTCGGACAAGGTTCTTTGCAGCAAGGTCAACAGACCAGCGCTGCTAAACTTTGGAGACCCTGTTGCCCGAAAGCAGAGCGACGACCCATTAATCCGACAGTGAGTATTTTGATTTTTTTTTTTTTTTAATAGAAAAACCTGAAAATCTGTAAACCCTTATAATTTGAGCGCACATCATTTTAGGCTAAGTAATTTATTTTCATTAATATGAACACAAATTATTGATTAAATTTATTTAATTTCAATTTTTTAGAACTATTGAAATATTAAAAATTGAATGTGTATAAGAATGTTATGCTAACTCAATAGGTAAATAAGAAAGAAATTCCTGCGAATTTTTGTTATATTATATTTATTTTAACATAAAACCTGAGTTTATTGATATTTAGAATATATTTCCCTCATCCCCCTGGCAGCTTTTTTTTATTTATCAAAATCTGAACCTGCGTTTAATACCATGTGATTTTTGCTCAGGCTGCGCGTGATTGCTGAGCAGCCCGAAGACGTTGATGAATGTGCTGGCGCCTTACTGTTGGTAAGAGCGCTTATGCTGTTGTACCCCAAACTGGTCTTGGACGAGGAGACTCTCCCTGATGACAGCAAACTACCGTGGTACCTGTGAGTCCATAATCTCCTCATTTCATTTATGTATTTGAAACTGACATTTTTCATTTTTTTCAAACAGGGTGCTGCGAGGTCTGATGGTGTTCCAGACAACTTTGAGCAACGCTGAGAAAAGCAGCGAAGTCGACTGCATCACAGGACAGTGCATCAAAAGCCTTGGCCTGCCAAAGGAGTTCGAGGCCAGTTTAATGATGGCAAAAGAGGACCACGTTCGCTCATTCAACATCGGAATCATTGCCACACTCCATGTTAGCACCCCCGCTGATGTGTACAAGACTGCCAAAGACCGTAAGCCTTTGAATCATATTAATTTAAAAAATATATATATATATATATTTTAGAAAAACTTTTAATATTTTTCCCAGACTTCATGGTAAGGAAATAATTTTAATTTTGTTCATTTGCTTCTATTTCCAGTGCCCAAATGCTCATTGGCAGTGGCTTCTTCCGTATTCAAAGCACTGGAGATGTCCTTCCAAGTTTCCAGACTGCCTATCTTGGAGAAGGCGAGAAACAACTTTGCAGCTGCATTGCCGTTGCTGCTTGATTCCGGCGAGAGGCATCTTGATTGCTTCAGGGTTTTCTTCGCCGCCTTCCGCCGAGTGTCAGCTGATGCACAAAGTGCCATGATCTCGGTAATTATTTCTAACATTTTTCAAGCACACCTCTTTATTAATGTCAATCCTCTTGCTGCAGAATGTTTTGGGGGTGATGAAGGGGAAAGATGCCACAGAGTTGGTCAAGCAGTTGCACCTACACCCCGATGTCATTCACCCAGCGCACCGTCTGGTGGCTCGGCGTTTATTGAATGCAGTGGTGCACATGTCATTGCATGTGGTGCCCCTTCAAAAGATCAGCAGTTACCCCTTTACTCAGATGATGTCACTGAAACGAGACGTGATGGGAGGCTGGGAGAATTGTCTCTTGTGGCTTGTGATGGGCTCCTGGGAGCCGAACCGTCTCCTGGCATTTATCCCTGAGATGCTAATAAGGGTAAGTCCACCTTGAGCCTGTTTTTTTAAATAAAATGTTTACATTTTTATTTTTACCAAATTAGCAAACCGAAGACGAGGTAGCAGAGTGGGCTCCTGTTGTCCTCAGGGCGCTCTACGCTATTCTGCTCAGGGAAAAGGACAACAAGGACCAGCTCCTCTACCTGCGATGCCTTGAGTGGGCAATTTTCCTCACTAGGAAAAACACTCTGGCCAAGGTCGAATTGGTGCTGCGCTGGGTCCATTGCAAGCTGAGCCCTTCGAAAGCTGCATTTTTCCTCTTGAACAGGTTGCCCGGCATTCTCAGCATCTGCCTTGTGGACTTGGGCCTGTCGCTGTCCCTCTCAGAGGACCTCTGCCCTTTAGGTGTGCAGCTAGCCCAAGCGTACCTTGACGCTACCAGGTGGTACTCAATATCATGGCAAGGGCTAGATTTCCATTTCTTCGTCGGCATTGACCTGGATGGTGAAGCCCAATGGAGGATTGATCACACTCCTGAAGTATGTTTTACTCTTTATTTGGTTAAAATATCAATTCTTTAGGAATTATTTAAATAATTGTTGTGGGGCTTTACTTGAAGTATATAATTTGAAAGTTTCATTCAAATTTAGAGCTATTTGAAATTTTATCAAAATAACCTTGATCTTTTCTGCCAACAGCTTGCGGGCAGCGAAATAGACATGGAACGCGAATTTCCAGGAAATCCAGAAACAGAGAAAGAGATCCAGATGTGCTTGGATGCAATGGTGATTCATTTTACTTTTAATTTAAAATCTAAACTATAATTTTACCTCTCTCAGCTATTCGGCGTCCAAGTGAGATTATATGCCACCGACTTAAAACTGCAGGGTTTCCCATACTCACTTGTAAGTAATCGGCCCTTAATTATTTATAAAATTGTTAAATATTTGATTTTTTTTTAGGCCGTACCCTTCTTCCCCGAACATGGATCGGATGAGTATGTTTCTTTGGAGAAGAAATTTAAGGACTTTGAAGCGCTGGAGAGGGAGGCGGCCCTGCAGAGGGAGAACAATGATGTAGTTGATGCAGAACTGGACGGCATCGAACCTCAGGACGAGGAGAACTTGGACCCTCCAGCACCAGAGGCTGACGTGGTTCCAGCTCCAAACTTGGCTCAGAAGTCATTTGAGCAAGAAAAGACTCCTGCTAAGGCAAGTTATTTCACATTTCTGCTGCTGAGCTGATTTAATGAAAACAACTAATTTAGGTTGCCGCGGTTGTTGCGCCAGTGGTGCCCCCAAAACCGAAGAAAAGGACTGCCGAAGTCCTACACAGGCCGGTGACCAGGTCCATGAAATCCGATCCCGAGGTAATTTATCAGTGATCAAAAGTTATATAGGCATAATTTCTTAATTGATTTTGTGTCCCAAAGGATCTGCTTGGCCTTCTGGTTCCAGCAAAGAAGGCAAGGAAGTCCGATGCAAAGCCAAATGTTGCCAAGAAGGCTCCGACGGTAAAGAAGCCTAAAGCAAAGGTGCCGCAAGTTGCTCTGGTGAGACTTTAATTTTTAACACAAATACATAAGGTTTCTTTTTTTTCAATAAATTGTTTCCAAAAGTAAGCAATGTATTTTTAACAATGTGGACAATTAAACATCAACAATAAAATAATATCTTTTTTCCACTCCCAGATTGCTCCTCCTCTTCCTCCTGCTCCTACGCACAACGTCCAGCAGCGAAAGGTGAGAAATCTCTTGAAGCATTTAGAAGTTTTGAAAATGTAACACAACTTTTTTCTCTTGATTGCAGCGGAAGCACGAGAGGCAGCCTGAACAGGGACAAGTTATCCCCCTGGCTAGGAGCTCCAAGAGGCGCAGAGCCGCTGTGGAGGCTGACAAGGCCATCGCCTACTGCCTCAGGCCAGGGGCCAACATGGCCTTGTACCGCCGGGGCCACCACTAATGTGTCGGCCATCCAGTCCCCACAGGTACTTGCACCACTCTCACTAGAGCTGAATGCAGATGATCTAATTGTCGTTTTAATTTTTGCAGAGATGAACTTTTAGCGATAGAACACCAAAAGGCAATTTACTCAAGATTCGCAAAGTGCTTTGACACCTCTGGTGAGTGGATCTTTTAACTAAAATCATATAATTTTTATTAATAATAAATGTCAGCTTAACAATTTAATGATTTATTAACAATTTCTTTAAAACTTTTATATTTTTGCCTCTCCTATTTGGTGATTCTACTGATTCTAAATTTTATGCATTTTTTTGCAGTTAAAGCCTGAGCTTTGCGCTCCAAAGCTGGTCATCAACCACAAGACACAAAACATATTGAAGATTTCATGACTGTGTACTCAGCACCAGACAGCCAGGGAGAAAACATTTGACTTCTTCCGACATACCAACTTCTCAACCCTCTCTGGTTGTGGAATTTGCATCAAGACACTTTTCTGGTAAGAGATTTATTTTGTAGCAATAACTGAATTTTAATAATTCATTTGCTTTCAAGCTTCAAAGGGAGGGAAATTATGTAAACTTGATTTTTATTTTTTAATATCATCAAGAGTTCAAGTTCCGAACTTACTGTTAATATTATTTGTACTAATATAATATTTATTTTGCAGAAACTCGATGTAAATCATCTGGTGCTCGTGCCAACCCAACCCAACCAAGAGACAAGAGATCTTCCTTGTTACAGCAGAGCTGCTTTGCTTGTGGACAACATCAAATTCAATCCACTTCATGAAAACCAGCAACCTGGCCATGGATGTCCACGAGAGAAGCGCCGAACCAATCTCGGTGAGTACCAACTTTTAATTTTTCATTTGTCTCTCGCGTGGTTCCTTTTTCCGATTCAACATCTAAATTTTTTGTATCCAGTTTTTTAACAACAGGCTTTTTTGTTTGGTTTATAGCAAAACCCGAAACCGTCAAGAGCGTTTTGCAGAGCTCTACCTCTGGCAAGGGCTCCCTTGCGGTCACACATTATTATTATTTTTTTTTTATACTTATAATAGAGGTCTAGCTTAATTTCAATTAAACATTTTTTAGTTTTTATCTGCGTTGACTTAAAAATTATCCGGCTTGGCTTTAATTTCAATTAAATTGATTTTCCAATAGAATCTTTTAGCAAATACTTGTAAATCTACTTTCCTCCCAAAAGTGACTTGCGATTCTGGGCAATTTTAATTGATACGAATTTTTAGTCTTACAATTTGAAGCAAAGCAACACTGAACCATAAGAATGTTCTTGGAAGCAAGTTAAGAAATTCTTACCAAATCTTAATAATTATAATTATATGAATAATACATTTAGCTCCAGAATTCTCAACAGGACAAGTGGTTTTATATGCAAAATTGGCCTTCAGTCATTCACTCATAGTTTTTTTTTTAATTTGTTTGTTTAATTTAGAATCAAATAATTAAGAGATTTAGAGAAATAAAATAGGCAATTGAAATTATTCTAATGCAAAAAATTTACCAAAAAATACATAATATAATGAATTGACACTGCTTTAGATGTGTCTGGGAAATTAAACGACCATCCAAAATCATTGCAAATATTCCATTTTTTTTTCATTTGTTGGCAAATTTCATCGTGCTTTGGATGGCTCGAAGAGCAAAAACAGAATTTCCTTTGTCAGAATTGAGGATTATGAAAAAATTCAAAGTTTGATTTTTATATTAATTGTTCTTCTCTGCGCTAGTTTAAGACGATTCAGTAGATCTTTGATGGATCTAGTCGGTAACTGTAAAAACGGAAAAAAACTTTGCCACATATTAATTATGTAGGAAATGAAAATTTACATTTCTAACTCAAGAGTGGCTTTGCTCATATTTTTTTTTCATATTTTTCTTGATGTTAATTGAGTACAGCGCTAGAAACTTATAAAATGCTGCAAATCCATTACAAAAATTTGCATTCAAAATTAGCAGAAAATTCCCCTGTTGAAGCGAAATTGCCATTGAAATTTTTTTCTCAAAAAATTCCGTTCATGATAGTTGGTGTTTGAAAAAAGGTTTTAGGATTTCAATTCATTTGCAAAATAAATTTGTTACACACGCAAAAATTGCGTCCCAAAAATTTAGTTTAGGCCAAAACTGGGAATTGCTTTGTGAGTTGAAGAGAATGGATTCGAGCAACACACAAACAGAACAGAGATTTAAAAAATTTAATTTAAGATGGTCAAAAATGGAAACGTTTATCAGAGTCTATTTTTTATTTTTACGTATTATGTTTGCTTGCGCAGTTTTGCAGAGGTTAATTTCGATTCAGTGGAGTTTGATTTCGACGAAGGGAAAAACAACTCTGTGTGAGGCAAAAAATTGCTTTTCCCTCAGGTTGGAAATTTGTCGGATTGCCTTGAACGTAGGCGCCACGTTTGAGATCAATACGGCGAATGGAAAACTGAGAAGTTTGGCAATTTTTTGGGATTCAACTCTTTTTTTGAATTGCAAAAATCAGTGTTTTCCGACGTTATAAAAATTTCATGCAATTCGATCAAAATTAATTGTTCCTTGAGAGTTGAATCAAGTGAAAAAGGATTTTTTTTCATACGCTTAGGCGTGCAACTCAGATAAAAAGTGCATTCCAGCTAATTAGCAATTAAATTATGCGCCGATAATTTGAGAAAGGTGTTTTGAAAACGAGGAAAATATAGTGAGATTGGTGCGTTTGAAAATGTCACCTTTTAATTATTCAGATTAAAGCTGAAAATAATAAATAATCATTCACCTGCGTTTGAAACTCGACTTCTGATCGAACCTGAGAGTTTCATAAAATAAATTGATTGCTGAGAATTTACGCTTCGTTAAAATTTGCGCTCTTTACTAGAGTGCTGGAGCAGAAATAATGAGAAAAGTTAATAAGAACGAAATCAGAGTTGTTTAGTCACCAAAATTCTACAAATTTGGTCGGATATTGTAAATAATATGGAATTGTATCATCGATGCATCAGGCAAAATCTGCCCTACATCATTAGGATAGGAAAAAGTTATAAAACTCGACAGGAAAATCAAATAGAAGTCACAATGATTATTATTTTTATTGTTGTTTATTTGTCCACATCATTTACATCCATGGCAATCGTTAAAAGAAAAGAATTTTTGGACAAAATAGCAAGAATTTGCTGAAACTTCAGAGATGAAATATCCCAATCTCAAATAATTTAACGAATCAAACTCCAAACCGAAAATATTCATGCAATCGAAAACTATAAAAAGTCTTAGCGTTGTTATGTTTTTATGAAATGGTGATTTTTAACACCGTTTATAATTTTGAGCATTTGCTCCAAAGGCTATGTTTAAAAACAATCACATATATTTTTTCTCCACTCATTACAACCAGTTAATTGGGAAACTTTTAGAAAATTAGTACATTGAAGTAAGGAGAAGCAATAAAAAAAGTGTCTAAACACCGAGTAAATATCTGTATGTAAAATTCAAGACACATTTATAGAACAAAAAACGTTTGAATAGAACTCATGCCACGGACATTATCGTTAACTAGGAAAAACTTGAAAACCAAACAAGTGTTACAAGTACCGACCTCTGCAAACTCTATGATTGAACCACCCCAATTGCGTAAATCTGAACGACCGAGACCGAGAAATATTTATTTTACTTTTAGCTTCAGTGAGCCTCTGCCCTCCAATACCTCAAGGGCTCAAGCTGGACTTGAATGTCCGTTCGTCTGCATTAATTGTTATTTATAGACATGGAATGGTTGGTCTGACATAAAATCTTGGATTGTCCAGGACCACCATTTCTTTATTATTTATTCTTCTTGGTGAATACAAAAATTATAAATTGGAAAAAGAGAATAAAAGCGAGGAAAAAAATTATTTAGTAAAAAATACAGCGTCTGTGCTTTCCACAGCATGAAATGAAGTCTGAAATAAGATACATATCGGCGAAGATACCAAAAGGAAGTGATTTTGATGTGCGAAAAAAGATTTTATGAGATGATCATGGAAATGAAGAGATCGGGTTTGTCTCGTTGCATAAATTATTTTTGTATTTGAAAAAAAAAATTCGCTACCTGTTTCGGTCGCGGTCTGCGACCCTAGTTCATGAGCTAAAAATAAAAAGA